TAATGGTCTTTATTTGTAGGACTCTGAAGATATCTTTACCAAGCAATCTATCTCTATTATTACAGAGGAACCCAAACAACCATGTCAACATAGTCAAGTAGTTCTCACATATACAGTTATACTTTATACTGTTTACCACTAGTCATGTTTTAATGTTATAAATTGACAATATGCTTGTTGATTGCTTATGCATGAAACACTGTCTAGCAAAACTTTATTAACATCTGGTAGAAATGTGCTCAACAAACATAAAAATATATTACAATAGATATTTTGAAACAGTGAACATTAATAATTACTGTGTACTTGCTCTTTCAAGTCATTTGTCACCCACTGGCCACTATACTGGGCTATTGTTACAGTTTGACTTTGCATCAAATGTATCATGTCAGCAATCCTTTGTTGTTCATGATTATAATGCAAACAAAAGAACAATTATGGTGATGTCAAATTTTATTTCCATAATTTCAATGTTAGGTATATACCCAACTAAATGATATTACTCAATACGCTTTTTTTGGTGCTATAATCTGCATGTATTTTTTTCTTCAGCATAATTCATTTGTATTTGTACATCGATATCCCCACCTATTGCTTGATATATTTGGACTTGTGCTACTCATGTGATGCAAATGAAAGCAATTTGTTGATGCCCTACCTAATAATATAATTAGATCCTCAAAAGGTATGTAAAATAGATGTTACTGCAGAAATGATTAAAACAGGCCAACAACATTTTGTACTTGTCAGATATACCATATCCGAGTTGCAACACATATTAGCAATGGAAAAATATCTGGTTGTGTATGATAGAAAGTTTGGTATTGAAGCCAAAGATTTTATTGAAAAAGTAAGTTTGTGTGTTACTCTTTCAGGATATAAGGTGTCTGAACAACTTCACCAAATTTTGACTTACAACATACTATTTGTTTCAAGACCCTTGTCAAAGATGTGAGAACTTGTTACATATTAATCTGACATTGCATGTAGTGAATGTCAAATTTGTATTTGCTTATTTTTCAATGTAAAGTTCTTCATGTGGTATGGGAGAAAATGTCTTCATCCTTAAATATCAGTTTATTGTACATTTCAAACCCTTGTGAAGTCATCCTTCATGTTTTACAAGCCCTTGTTACATTGTTTTATTACATGTGGATGTTAACCCTTCAATTACAAGCAAAATATTGTTAAAACTTGTAATGATTATTTACACAATATATTTATCATGGAATTTCTTTTATGATGCAGAATCCAATCCATGTGCAGTCTGTTTGTGATCATTCTACCAAATTTTAACCTGAAGAAGTATATTTTGTTACATGAAAAATAACTTTTTGTACAAATACACGTATTGTTTCTCAACCTTCTAATTACCCCAAATTTGTTTACCATACATCCTGTGCCTAAGTAGGGCTTCTATAAACTATTCTTGTGATAACCAATGAGCATATTGATTTATTTATAACTATTGAGGTATACACTTCATCTCATCCACATTTGTACATACCACAGTCATACATTGTAGTATAAACTAAATGTATGACAAGAATCTAAAGTCATTTAACCATGTTGCTTTAGTGCCTGTATATATGAAGCACTTTCTAAGGTTTTGTGAAGTCATAATTAAATAATTATTGTCTGCATAACCACAAATTGTTGACAACACATACACACATATTGTACAAATAGTTCACACAATTTACACCACGTAATCGAGTTACACATACACATAATTAATCTTAAAATATTGATTTTACATATTTTTGGAATTGTTAGTTTGTGATTATTTTCAGGGATTGCTTAAAATCTTTGGTAGTCATGGGGTTTGTACTTTTGTATTAAAAATCTCTAGCGAGTTAAAATTTCATCTATTTTCATATTTCTTGATAATCCTTAAAACCATGAAATCGTTGATGAGGATTGAAATGATTCTATTGAACAAGTTTTTTTGGAATTACACCAATTGAGACTATTTTAATTGGCTACACTTAGAAAGAAAGGTTTTTATATGAAAACAAGTATCAAATAATCTGCAATGGTGAACATCCTTTTATTTGATATATATTTCCTTTATGTATGTTTTAGCACTTTAAGCATTTTTACTACAAACAAAGAACAAATGGTGATTCAAATTTTATTTCCTAATTTCCTGATTTTGTTGTAAGTTCTAAAGTTTACTCAAAAGTTTTTTTGGACTATAATCTGCATGTATTTTTCTTCAGATAATCATTTGTATTTTACATGTATCCCCAGTTATTCCTTGATCTATGTATATTATTCTCATGTGAACAAAAAATTTTTCATCCCTACCTTAATTACAATTTATCCTGAAAGGTATTTGATAATGTATGTTACTCTGAAATTGTTAAAACTTGAAACAAATTTTGTACTTGTAGATATAATATCCGTGTTCTTATCTCTGAGGTAAGGCAAAATGTTGGCGGTGTATATAGAAAGTTTGAATTAAGAATGTTATTGAAAAAAGAATGTTAGTGTTACTCTTTCATGAAATAACATCAACCTTTAAAATTTTGACTTTACTTACACATTTTCAAACAAGTCAAAAGAGAAAAAAATCTGCCTTGAGTAGACTGTCTCGTTTACAAGGAAGAGGAGGAAGGTTAGTTTCTCAAATGTTGTTAGATAAGGTCGTTATTGTTTGTAGTTGTTGGTTATAGCATTAAAGGTTGAATTGTTTTGACAACATTCTCTTTTATTTAGAATTGTTCTAGATAACTTTCACAATCCTGATGTGGCGTATGTCGTAAACAGTTTGTCAACGCATGTCATTGCCACCGTTATGTTGGTTTTGCTCTTTGCTTTCAAGGTAATGGTTGTACTGTTAACTTAGTATTAATTACTGCCGATGAAAGAGGATCTTAAAACCTCTCAAAAAGCAGAAATTTGTAATCTAGAGAGCTTCGGGTTTTTGTCAATACGTCTATCTACTGGACCTTTTCTTCGTTGAGTTTTGGCTTTCCATCAATGAACGAGTAAGCGTTTTACGATTGATTATGAAGTGTGTTATGATGCGATTGGCAATGAGCCCGAAAAGAAAATAGAACAAAAGCTTTTTAATAGAACGGCCAAGCCCAACTTGAAGAGCTCTCGAAGATAAACACGTCAGATTATCCTCGATGCCTTATATTTTCTTCATTAAATTTTATTTTTCAAAACTTTAAATTGAATATTGTCGTTGAAACACCATATGGTGAACAAATTAGCGTAAACAAATGGCCAAATATGTCTTGGACGTTCGTTTCAAATATCAAAAGAGATTAGCCAAGGGTTACATTCTCTCATCGAAAGGAATCATGCAGCAGCGAAGATACTTATCTCTTTGTTATGCTTTAGGTCACGCGAAGTCGTTTTCATTAAATTACGAAATGTTTTAGGATACATTACGACACATATTGACTAATGTGGAAGTATGAATGTTATAAAACTGCACGACGCGTTTTTCAAAGGACATTTCTCTGTTTCGAAGCATACTCAAGTATTCCAGTACATAACATTTAATGCTTAATAAAGTAAATGGTTTGAACCCGGAGAGTTGTTTAATGATGATCGTCCAGGTTAAGTGAGAAGGATGTTTTGTTGTTGATGACGTTGACAACCTTAGCGGTAGTCATCTTCAGAGTCATTTTGACACTGACTCTGAAGGTGACTACCGCTAAGGTTGTCGAAACGTCAGTCAACAACAACAAAAACAGTCCTTCTCAGGACTTTATTAACCTGGACGATCATCATTTACAAACATTTAATGCTTAAGTCAGTCTGTGTACTTGCTGACCTATACCACCTGCCCTCCTCGATATTAAATTTTTCCTGTCTGTTTTAAAGGTATACTTTGAAAAATACAATGTAAATCAAAGAAGGCGTTCTCGGGGTAGTTCGTCTATAGCCACAACGATGACGGATCTTCGTAAATCACCATTTCATCTCAACCGTTTGGAGGACGGTACTTTGGTGTGCGAAAACGATGAAGAGAAAAGCCGCGAGGGTCTGGAAACTGAGAATATACAACTGAGGGTAAGATGTTTTGGGAATACTGTTTGAGTACAGATTAAAACGAGGATTTTTCGAAGAATGTTCAAAGAAACAATGTCAATGGTTATTGTCTTAAATACAAAGAACGACTCTCCATTTGCAAAGTGGGTGACCTAGGTTTGAGGGTTAGGGGAGATTTGTCAGATCATCGCAGAGTTGCTAAAGAACGAGTCGATCGTGAGATGCGCCAGGGTCTGACGGGAAGGTATGGGGGAAATGAGTTGAACTTTGGTCCCTGTGATGGTATTCACGTCCAATTACGGTCTTTCAGTTTCTCAAAACTTGAAAATTGAATGTGTGCTCCTTGTGACAGCACATTATGCATTAAGCCATTTATAGGCGCACGTCAAACAACGTGTGAAATATGCTTTGTTAAACAACTGCCAAAATCTCAACTCACGCAACACGCGAAAGTGATCATTATCACTTGTAGTTGATTATTATCCCCAATTTACAGAGATTATCATCTTCAATATAGAGTAATTATCCTCAATTAAAACCATTGAAATTGTAGCAAAGAATCCGTTAACACTTATGAAATAAGCCGATTTGATGTTCAATTAATGACATTCCTATATTAAAATCATTATCCTTACACTTTTCACAGGAGGAAATACGTGATTTGACTGCGAAACTTGCAGCATGTGAATACAAACAACAACGAGAGCAGAGACGACAACAAGGAAGTCCACAAGAAAACAGCTACATTTCCACGAGTAGCGAGACTCGTCACCCAGATTCAACAGCGAGACGGAGAGCGCTCAGGGTCGAGAGTCGGAATCTCCCGATAAAATTGGTCAAAGGTGTCGAACGTTGCCGACAGCTTGACAAGCAACGGTAGCGTGTTCACCCGCGAGGAAAGAGGTGGAAGTTTAATAGAAGATATTAAAACGCTGATCGTTTTATCGCCCTACCAAACGGTAGTAGCGTTTCCGATGAAGAAACTTTAACGGTCATGTCAAACGTTTCTGTTGAATCCTCGTGATATTGAAAAGATTCTTGGAGGAATATGGCCGTGTGTTCTACTGAAGAGAATATTTATGGATCCTGTTTCAGGAAAGATGAGATTTGACAATGAACTGTGGTACAACTTGACTACCACGAAGATGTTTCCACATAAAGATTAACTCCTACGAGAAGAAAGTTAATTATAAACGATCGAATCGACTTACTAAACCTTTCCCACAATAAATATTCAAACGCAAAAAACGACATGCATTTCGTTAAGAAAATGTGAAACATTTTATGCTTATCTCTGATTTTATGACGTTTTCGTCGCTAATGACGTAATTTGACGCTATGACGTAATTTGATCGCAGTCAAGTCTGTACTTATACACTTTACACAATGAGCATTGCAATAAATATTTTACATGAAGTACGCAGGGACATAAGCGAGGCTAATCGAAATCTTTACACCTGCATGGCAAATTTTTAGCAAAATTATTCGGAATTATTTCGATTGTTTTGCAGTTAATGAACACAAAAATATTTGCATAGCAGGAATAATGTCGATATTACACAGCGCTATAGATTTTATTTAATTTAAATTAATGTCGTTCGTAAAAGCCAAAACATTAAATTTGTAATATAGAGAAAATAGATTTAATTATGAAAAAAAAAGATAAAAAGTTTAATTGAAGCTGTACTTTTCTATCTTTTTGTGTGGATTTGGAATTTTTCTTATCTCCCTCTCCCCGACATAACTAACGTACCTCAACATTTGCAAGGATTACCGCAGGACATAAAGTTTTCCCATAAATAGAGAAGAGAATCGGCATCCTGCTCGGGCAAGGTAAACATTTCCATCTGACAATCCCCGAAACACGACCATCGCTCATCCTGAAGTATTTGAAATAGAAAGGAAACACTGTCACATGTTCGGCCGCTGGTTCATAAGAACCTGGGCTCGTAAGAGTAAGATCACCATAAAGGATCTTGTTGAACAACCGTCACAAACTTGCAGAGAAGAAAAGGAGATCTTACCTTATAAATTTCAGGAGCAATAGCTGATAACCAAATACCCATAGAGACATCCTCCCCCTTTACACAAGAAAGAAAAACATGTGTCAATATCTAGTACTCTGAGAACTACATCTTTACACATCAAGAGGTCACTTTCAACATTGTAATCTCGTCGTGGTTTTTCTATCATATACCTGATAACGTTTTAGAGATTTCTCGTTTTTTGCCAGCCAGTGAACAATATCCGAAGATATAATGCTGCCCGCACCGCAGGCAAATGTCGGATAAGCCACTCCCGGATAATCAGGCTCGGCCCATTTTCCCTGTCTCTCGATCAACCAATCAGTACGAAAGCTGTAAATATGAAGAAGCAATTGCATTTAGAAGCAATAACTACAACTCATATTCTCATACCTTATTTATAGTTTAGTCGCATGGAAAACGCTAATTCGTATGTTTGCAATCTCGTTTCTGTTTTACTTGAAAAATATTATAAATTTGGCAATTCCTAATGCCCAAAACATGATATCTCAAAAGGATTTTCACTATGTCAATAAAATCTTTAGAATGGACTCAGTATAAAGTAGATGGTTTGAACCGGAGTATCGTTACATGTTTGTAGATGTACATCGTCCAGTTAGTAGAGTCCTGAGAAGTGTTGTTGCTGTTGGTGTTGACTAACATTTCGACAATCTTAGCAGTAGTATTTTGACTCTGAAGATGACTACCGCTAAGGTTGTCGAAACTTCAGTCAACATCAACACCAACAGTCCTTCTCAGGACTCTACTAACCTGGACGATCTACATCTACAAACACGTACACAGAATATTGTGTACTGACGGAGTTGAGCTAAACTCACCTTCCCACCACAATTTAGACGTGTTTTTAAATTATGACTTTCCATTTCCTAAAAATATCAAATATTTCTTCAGTCGTGAAGTTCTTCGGTACACTATTAAAGATATAAAGCTTAATTAAAGACACCCTTACAAATCGCTTGATTGAGTAAAATCTTTAGATTGAGTCAAAAATCATCTGTGCAGCTTGTATACTTCCGGAGGTAATTAATGTTGAAATCGACTCTATACTGAGCATGCGCAATTTCTATTTCCTCGTGCTTTTATTGTAGAGACTCGGGACGAGGCTCATTCCAAAGCTCTCAATGAGAGGTCTGGGATGGTGTAAAATCATCTCCACAGCATGGTTTAAGAGTGGCGTAAGGGTGTTTTAAGGGTGGTTTAAGGGTAGAGTAAGGATGTTTTAAGGGTAGCGTAAAATGTTTTAAGGGAGTTTTAAGGGTAGCTTCAGCGTGGTTTAAAGGTGGTCCAAGGCTTTAAGTTACGCTTCACCCTAGACTACGGTTAAACCACCCTTAAACTACCCTTAAGCCCTCTAAAACCACATCTAAACCATTTTAAAAACCACGCTTAAGCCACCAGATTGATATACTCCAAAATCCCAAGATACATCTACGTACTCCAAAATCCCAAGATACCTCTACATACTCCCAACTCCCAAGTTACCTCTACGTACTCCCAACTCCCAAGTTACCTCTACGTACTCCCAACTCCCAAGTTACCTCTACGTACTCCCAACTCCCAAGTTACCTCTACGTACTCCCAACTCCCAAGTTACCTCTACGTACTCCCAACTCCCAAGTTACCTCTACGTACTCCCAACTCCCAAGTTACCTCTACGTACTCCCAACTCCCAAGATACCAACACGTATTTTCTATTATTTATTGAAGAGCTTTCACAAACCTGTAAGATGGTCTCCAGGTTAACAAAACAATCATCGTCAGTTTTCATTACAAAGGAAAAACTTAAAGTCGCCGAGAGCCTATTTAAAAAGAAAAGCCGACATGAAGCAAGATCAATATGACATATGACGACTGATGTCGTAGGTAAGGAGATACTGGCGAGATGAATTATACACTAATGCAAGTTATTTGGGCAAAAATAATGTTTAAAGTTGATTTGAGACTGTCCACTTATCGCCAGAAATTTCACAGTGGCATGAAAAATATAAAAGTCTCAGACACTCTCTTACCACGAGAAAACTGAAGCAACTGGGATGGAAGATTTCTGTAAACATCGACATTTGAAACAAAAGAATATCAGAAATAGTTCTGCTTTCTTTAAGTAAACGTTCATTCTCATCGTCTTTCAATCGCTGCCACTCCGACATTCGAGTTTCTTCTTCCTCTTTGTCACGACTCTCTTCCCCGGAGAATCTACGGAGGATTGCAAGTTGCTACAGACTTTAAAGAAATTTATTCATAAAGCATTGTACCATCTTTTCTTTTAATATTTGGTGAGGGAATATTAGTGTTTGGCACTAGGCTTTAAACTTCATATGAGTCTGCACAGTCCATTTGACAAATTTTTCAATTTCATAGTCATGGTAACGACAAGCTGGATCTATTTTCATCGCTTTCTGAGTGATTAAATCGTTTGGTCACATAAATGTACGCAAAATCATCTGAGCATGCGCAGTACGCTTGGAAATGCGCAGTACAAGCAAAGTCTATTTGACCAATTGTCTGAGTAAACGATCATGGAAATGACCAACTGCATTTATTAGAATCAATTAGGAGTAGATAACTTGCTTACTAGCAAATTATTAAAGATATCAACTGAGCATGCGCAGTTCACTTGACAGTTTTTGACTTCATAGTTATGGCAACGACCAGCTGCATCTACAAGCACCGAATTTGAAGTAAATAGCATGCTTAGTAACAATTAAATGGATAAATCATCTGCGCATGCGCAGGAGCATGCGCAGTACATTCGACCAATTGTTTATAGTCATGGCAACGACTAACTATATGTACTTGCACTATATTTGTGGCAATTAGCTCACTTAGTCGCAAATTATCAAAGAAATCATCTGGGCATGCGCAGTAGTGACTTTAATAATACCGCAACTTTCGTAAGCCTCTGAATTTTGTATATATATATAAAGCCAATATTAGGTATAGTAGATGTCAACTAGCAGTGGAAGCTGGGTGCGATATGTATGCAGTGGCTTAGGGTCCAGACGTTTCGGGTCGCGACCGCACTCTCCCTGCGTACCCCGAGCAAAGCCTATCGCAGGTGATCTCGGGTCTGATGGGCGGAAGCTTGCTATTGCATCTCCCAAGTAGGATAGCGTGGAGGGCCGAAATCTCCTACCGAAACGTTAACATGCGGCGTTCTAGTGCCTCGGCTTAAGCAGGTATCGGGAAGCATGGACCGAAAACGGGGTTTTTTGCTTTTGAATTTAATCTTTTTTGTATAAAAGAAACTAGAACATTCAAGGATATTGCAAAGTTAAAAAATTCCGCCTTAATGACTTATAATTTAAACCAACTGTAAATATGTTTATACGCTTTTACATGTTAACTTTTACAAGGTAACTATCTCATAACTCTCTCGTGATGAACGAGAGCCTCCTTATACAATATAACTCTCATATCATGAACAAAAGTATCCATGAGCTTCATGGAAAAATGGATTATCTAATTCTTATAATAGATTTTACAAAGTTAGCATTTAATAAGCCAAGCCATTTGTATCGTTTAAATTATACCCTTATGTCATAAATTCATTGTGAATAATAACTTTCTTTTTACCTTATTTTCACGGTTCAATCTAGAAAGTAACTTTACATTTCGAGTGATTTTACGGTTAAACAGTTAACTTTTCGGATTCATATGACTTCTTTTGATCGCATAGAGACAGCCATCCAATTTATTACGTACATGCATGTGTACTTTGCACTTCATTGCAAGAAACCACCCTACCAACAAATATCCAAATCCGATTTTAGCAGCATCGTACCCCGAGAAAAGCCTATCGCAGGGGTCTGATGGGCAGAAGCTTGCTATTGACATCCCAAAGTAATAGGGATATTTGCCACCTTTCAATTAATAGGATATCGAAATGGACCGAAAACGGGATTTTTTGTTTTCAAAATTTTCTCTCTCTTAAAGAGTAAACAAAATTAAAAATTCTCGCAAGCTTCCAACGGAAAAGACTCACAGCTTATAAGGCTTTGGGGCAATGCGTGGGCTACAACAGGAGAGGCATTCTTCATTAAAATTAAACTAACATTGAGAAGAGGCTTCCTCCCAAACAAATGCTAGCAACAAATCCACTTTACTGCTGAGGATATTTTGTTTCTTTTCAATGTGCGCAGAAAAATCCAGTTAAGAGCAACTGTTGCATCAAATTTCTCGTTGTTAACCGCGAAAACGAAGAAGTCAGTACGTACGTAATGTAGCATAAAAACACCTACTGTAAAGTCGATACATGAACGTTCCAGCCCCATCCACGCATCTAGCATCAGGAATTGATTCCTCGACTTCGGGAAAGACGGCGAACTCGTTGTTAATCCGTCTTATCTAGGAAAAAGAGTAGGTTTGGGTTAGTATTCACCATAGATTTGTAACTGTAGCCAACAAAATATAAAATTATTTAACATTGAATTGGAAAACCCTTTATATACGTTCTAGTAGATTAGTAATGCTTGCAACATCGATTAAGTAACCAATTGTTTATTAATACACATGAATTTGCTACATCAAAAGCGAAATAAAGCCTCGTGCTCAAGAATCTGTTGTAAAATAAACAATAAATATCCATTGAAAACTTGTATTTAGCAATATCGTAAAATGTCAATAATTTAGTCCAAATATCGATAAGAGGGCACCGAAGAAAACATTTATTACTGGATAGTAATTCTTTCGGAGAAAATCGCTTCACTTGCTCTAAATCATAACAATTCACCTCCAATTGGCTATGACATAAAACTTCTTTATGGTTTTATACCTTGTGTACATTGAAATAATCCTCTCCGTTTTCAATGTTGGCAAAATACTCGCATTTTCTGCATCGAGAACTTGAACATTTTACGTTTTCAGACACGACGCTGCCCTTGAAGTCCTATAATGGCATTTGAAACGTACCAAATGTTCAAACTCTATAGAAAAGTTCAAAGTCATAATTAACTTTGTGACTAAGCTTCAATATCTTACATGTTTGTGCATGTAGATCGTCCAGGTCAGTAGAGTCCTGAGAAGGACTGTTGGTGTTGATGTTGACTGACGTTTCGACAACTTTAGTGGTAGTTATCTTCAGAGTCAAGTGAGGAGTAAACGTCAGGTTTGCCATATTTGTTATCTGCTTGCAGACGTTTACTCCTCACTCGACTTTGAAGATGAAACCACTAAGGTTGTCGAAACATCAGTCAACATCAACACCAACAGCCCTTCTCAGCACTCTACTAACCTGTACAAACATGATAACGATACTCCCGAGCTCAAACAATTCACTTGAATATTTTGATAAATTATCGACTTGTTACTCACCTTTGGCAAAATAAAGTTTTCAATTGCTTTAAACGACGAACCGTTTTCTGTTGTACCAGGGTCTTGGAAAGAGAAATAAACAGATATAATTTCGCTCTGAAACGAGATAAAACAATTTAGATCAAATAACTTGTAAACGGTATTTATAAACTGCATGGTTTAACCTTAGTTGTTCTGTCGTAGAGTCGAACAGAAGAGTTTCTTTTTGAATTCAACGATGATAAAGAGATGCCAAGACGAGTCAAAATAATGGGACGGATGATCTGTATAAAAATAATTGTATTGTATTGCCAACCCAAATTTTTACTCCTGAAGCCAAACAGACACTTTATGCAACAGGTTTCAGACTTTGTTCAGAAGGTCCCAAAAGTTCAATGCAACAGTGTCCGTTGAGCAGTTCTTAATGGCTACAAATAACTAACTAATACTCACATCAAAGTCCCATCCGATAGATCCACTGTGAAAATATCTCAAATTTTCTTCATTTGGTCGTTTGTAAGCAATTACTTCATTTTCGTAGTCTAAACATCAATATGACAAACATATAAACACGTTTGATCATGCACTCGTTCCAGCCTCTATGACGGTAAAATCTCCATGAGAGATAGCAACACATATTTCCATCAAGACTGTCTGATCTTCGCTACAAATACATACAGCAATGATAAATTCGCAGCAGTGGCTGATTAATAATTACGGAGCATGTAGGCTAAGGCAAAATTACGAGGCCTGGTGATATTTAATCCCTCCACTAAGCTCAGTCTCTTGACAACGTTTGCGTTCTTTACGTTCCTTTGCCTTTGCATTTCCTAGCTTGCGTTTGTAACACATAGTGTGAACGATACAAAAGAAATTAATAGTTCAAAATAAACTTTAAAATTATCAAAACAGTCTGCAGAAATAGGGAAATCCTCGTCAGTTCTTAGCCTCGCGCATTTAAACACTAGATGGTACGAAAGTCTTTTCGTCGATATTCAATCGCACGTACGGTTTTCAACATCATAAATGGTCTAAAACGGCACTTTTAGCAAGTTCCAAGCAGCAAAAGTAAAACTAACAATGTCTTGGTTTACTTTTCGTAATGAGTAATCCGCAACTGATTAACTTTAAATATCACATGTATAGTAGGTTATGTTCGACGTTTGTAAATATGTGCCTCGTTAGTTTATCGCCTGCATCGAGATTCCAACGTCATATTGTTTTATATCGGCTTTTTCCAGGCGCCAAACCTCACAACTATCAAATCAAAAGTAAATTTTCAAACTTGGAGATTCGATTTTCTTTCTTTCGCATTTGTAAGGATCAATCCTGAACTCTGGAGGAACGTAACATGCATTATTTGAAACGATGAACTTCACCAACACTCTAAAACAACAATGGAATAGTAACCAACACTTTATTTTTCAGATTTAGTCATTCTACTTAGTTATATCACTGGTACAATTTTTTTTCGACAGAAACGGTTGTTGGGAACTCTGGCCAAGAAAACCACAGCAAAGAAAGGGATATTTTAGGCAAGTGTACCGTGAACCGTTATTTCTTGTGAATATTCGAGTTTAGCCTCAATACAATGACGTTAGTCAACACAGTTAAATTTATCATATGACAAAGAATGCAGTTTGCATGAGTTGTTCTTGTGTAGAACAAAACTGATAAACGAAACTAAAGACCTTGCTGTTGGTATATTCAATAGGCCATCATAGAAACGCACAACGCTACACTACTTAAAGAATGGCGGTCAGCTAAAATGTCCAATTCGATTCTACGTAGATCTGACAATTGCTAAAACGTTACTCATATCGGTAATCAGATTAGTTTACCAAACATTTCACTGGTATTGAAGACATACGTTGTAAACGTTCTCTGGTATTGAAGAAATACGTTGTAAACGTTCTCTGGTATTGAAGAAATACTTTGTAAACGTTCTCTGGTATTGAAAAAATACGTTGTAAACGTTCTCTGGTATTGAAGACATACGTTGTAAACGTTCTCTGGTATTGAAGAAATACGTTGTAAACGTTCTCTGGTATTGAAGAAATACGTTGTAAACGTTCTCTGGTATTGAAGAAATACGTTGTAAACGTTCTCTGGTATTGAAGAAATACGTTGTAAACGTTCTCTGGTATTGAAGAAATACGTTGTAAACGTTCTCTGGTATTGAAGAAATACGTTGTAAACGTTCTCTGGTATTGAAGAAATACGTTGTAAACGTTCTCTGGTATTGAAGAAATACGTTGTAAACGTTCTCTGGTATTGAAGAAATACGTTGTAAACGTTCTCTGGTATTGAAGAAATACGTTGTAAACGTTCTCTGGTATTGAAGAAATACGTTGTAAACGTTCTCTGGTATTGAAGAAATTTGTAAACGTTCTCTGGTATTGAAGAAATACGTTGTAAACGTTCTCTGGTATTGAAGAAATACGTTGTAAACGTTCTCTGGTATTGAAGAAATACGTTGTAAACGTTCTCTGGTATTGAAGAAATACGTTGTAAACGTTCTCTGGTATTGAAGAAATACGTTGTAAACGTTCTCTGGTATTGAAGAAATACGTTGTAAACGTTCTCTGGTATTGAAGAAATACGTTGTAAACGTTCTCTGGTATTGAAGAAATACGTTGTAAACGTTCTCTGGTATTGAAGAAATACGTTGTAAACGTTCTCTGGTATTGAAGAAATACGTTGTAAACGTTCTCTGGTATTGAAGAAATACGTTGTAAACGTTCTCTGGTATTGAAGAAATACGTTGTAAACGTTCTCTGGTATTGAAGAAATACGTTGTAAACGTTCTCTGGTATTGAAGAAACGTTGTAAACGTTCTCTGGTATTGAAGAATACGTTGTAAACGTTCTCTGGTATTGAAGAAATACGTTGTAAACGTTCTCTGGTATTGAAGAAATACGTTGTAAACGTTCTCTGGTATTGAAGAAATACGTTGTAAACGTTCTCTGGTATTGAAGAAATACGTTGTAAACGTTCTCTGGTATTGAAGAAATACGTTGTAAACGTTCTCTGGTATTGAAGAAATACGTTGTAAACGTTCTCTGGTATTGAAGAAATACGTTGTAAACGTTCTCTGGTATTGAAGAAATACGTTGTAAACGTTCTCTGGTATTGAAGAAATACGTTGTAAACGTTCTCTGGTATTGAAGAAATACGTTGTAAACGTTCTCTGGTATTGAAGAAATACGTTGTAAACGTTCTCTGGTATTGAAGAAATACGTTGTAAACGTTCTCTGGTATTGAAGAAATACGTTGTAAACGTTCTCTGGTATTGAAGAAATACTTTGTAAACGTTCTCTGGTATTGAAGAAATACGTTGTAAACGTTCTCTGGTATTGAAGAAATACGTTGTAAACGTTCTCTGGTATTGAAGAAATACGTTGTAAACGTTCTCTGGTATAAAGAAATACTTGTAAACGTTCTCGGTATTGAAGAAATACGTTGTAAACGTTCTCTGGTATAGAAGAAATACGTTGTAAACGTTCTCTGGTATTGAAGAAATACGTTGTAAACGTTCTCTGGTATTGAAGAAATACGTTGTAAACGTTCTCTGGTATAGAAGAAATACGTTGTAAACGTTCTCTGGTATAAAGAAATACGTTGTAAACGTTCTCTGGTATTGAAGAAATACGTTGTAAACGTTCTCTGGTATTGAAACGTTGTAAACGTTCTCTGGTATAGAAGAAATACGTTGTAAACGTTCTCTGGTATTGAAGAAATACGTTGTAAACGTTCTCTGGTATTGAAGAAATACGTTGTAAACGTTCTCTGGTATTGAAGACATACTTTGTAAACGTTCTCTGGTATTGAAAAATACGTTGTAAACGTTCTCTGGTATTGAAGACATACGTTGTAAACGTTCTCTATTGAAGACATACTTTGTAAACGTTCCCTGGTATAGAAGAAATACGTTGTAAACGTTCTCTGGTATTGAAGACATACTTTGTAAACGTTCTCTGGTATTGAAAAATACGTTGTAAACGTTCTCTGGTATTGAAGACATACGTTGTAAACGTTCTGGTATTGAAGAAATACGTTGTAAACGTCCTGGTATTGAAGAAATACGTTGTAAACGTTCTCAGTTGGTGTTGATGTTGACTGATGTTTCGACAACCTTAGTGGTTGTCATCTTCAAAGTCGAGTGAGGAGTAAACGTCTGCAAGCAGATAACAAATATGGCAAACCTGACGTTTACTCCTCACTTGACTCTGAAGATAACTACCACTAAAGTTGTCGAAACGTCAGTCAACATCAACACCAACAGTCCTTCTCAGGACTCTACTGACCTGGACGATCTACATGCACAAACATGTAAGATATTGAAGCTTAGTCACAAAGTTAATTATGACTTTGAACTTTTCTATAGAGTTTGAACATTTGGTACGTTTCAAATGCCATTATAGGACTTCAAGGGCAGCGTCGTGTCTGAAAACGTAAAATGTTCAAGTTCTCGATGCAGAAAATGCGAGTATTTTGCCAACATTGAAAACGGAGAGGATTATTTCAATGTACACAAGGTATAAAACCATAAAGAAGTTTTATGTCATAGCCAATCGGAGGTGAATTGTTATGATTTAGAGCAAGTGAAGCGATTTTCTCCGAAAGAATTACTATCCAGTAATAAATGTTTTTCTTCGGTGCCCTCTTATCGATATTTGGACTAAATTATTGACATTTTACGATATTGCTAAATACAAGTTTTCAATGGATATTTATTGTTTATTTTACAACAGATTCTTGAGCACGAGGCTTTATTTCGCTTTTGATGTAGCAAATTCATGTGTATTAATAAACAATTGGTTACTTAATCGATGTTGCAAGCATTACTAATCTACTAGAACGTATATAAAGGGTTTTCCAATTCAATGTTAAATAATTTTATATTTTGTTGGCTACAGTTACAAATCTATGGTGAATACTAACCCAAACCTCTTTTTTCTAGATAAGACGGATTAACAACGAGTTCGCCGTCTTTCCCGAAGTCGAGGAATCAATTCCTGATGCTAGATGCGTGGATGGGGCTGGAACGTTCATGTATCGACTTTACAGTAGGTGTTTTTATGCTACATTACGTACGTACTGACTTCTTCGTTTTCGCGGTTAACAACGAGAAATTTGATGCAACAGTTGCTCTTAACTGGATTTTTTTCTGCGCACATTGAAAAAGAAACATAATATCCTCAGCAGTAAAGTGGATTTGTTGCTAGCATTTGTGGGGGTAAGCCTCTTCTCAATGTTAGATTAATTTTAATGAAGAATGCCTCTCCTGTTGTAGTCCACGCATTGCCCCAAAGCCTTATAAGCTGTGAGTCTTTTCCGTTGGAAGCTTGCGAGAATTTTTAATTTTGTTTACTCTTTAAGAGAAGAGAAAATTTTGAAAACATAAAATCCTGTTTTTGGTCCATTTCGATATCCTATTAATTGAAAGGTGGCAAATATCCCTATTACTTTGGGATGTCAATAGCAAGCTTCTGCCCATCAGACCCCAGCGATAGGCTTTTCTCAGGGTACGATGCTGCTAAAATCGGATTTGGATATTTGTTGGTAGGGTGGTTTCTTGCAATGAAGTGCAAAGTACACATGCATGTACGTAATAAATTGGATGGCTGTCTCTATGCGATCAAAAGAAGTCATATGAATCCGAAAAGTTAACTGTTTAACCGTAAAATCACTCGAAATGTAAAGTTACTTTCTAGATTGAACCGTGAAAATAAGGTAAAAAGAAAGTTATTATTCACAATGAATTTATGACATAAGGGTATAATTTAAACGATACAAATGGCTTGGCTTATTAAATGCTAACTTTGTAAAATCTATTATAAGAATTAGATAATCCATTTTTCCATGAAGCTCATGGATACTTTTGTTCATGATATGAGAGTTATATTGTATAAGGAGGCTCTCGTTCATCACGAGAGAGTTATGAGATAGTTACCTTGTAAAAGTTAACATGTAAAAGCGTATAAACATATTTACAGTTGGTTTAAATTATAAGTCATTAAGGCGGAATTTTTTAACTTTGCAATATCCTTGAATGTTCTAGTTTCTTTTTATACAAAAAAAAGATTAAATTCAAAAGCAAAAAACCCCGTTTTCGGTCCATGCTTCCCGATACCTGCTTAAGCCGAGGCACTAGAACGCCGCATGTTAACGTTTCGGTAGGAGATTTCGGCCCCTCCACGCTATCCTACTTGGGAGATGCAATAGCAAGCTTCCGCCCATCAGACCCCGAGATCACCTGCGATAGGCTTTGCTCGGGGTACGCAGGAGAGTGCGGTCGCGACCCGAAACGTCTGGACCCTAAGCCACTGCATACATATCGCACCCAGCTTCCACTGCTAGTTGACATCTACTATACCTAATATTGGCTTTATATATATATACAAAAATTCAGAGGCTTACGAAAGTTGCGGTATTATTAAAGTCACTACTGCGCATGCCCAGATGATTTCTTTGATAATTTGCGACTAAGTGAGCTAATTGCCACAAATATAGTGCAAGTACATATAGTTAGTCGTTGCCATGACTATAAACAATTGGTCGAATGTACTGCGCATGCTGCTGCGCATGAGCAAATGATTTATCCATTTAATTGTTACTAAGCATGCTATTTACTTCAAATTCGGTGCTTGTAGATGCAGCTGGTCGTTGCCATAACTACGAAGTCAAAAACTGTCAAGTGAATTGCGCATGCTCAGTTGATATCTTTAATAATTTGTTAGTAAGCAAGTTATCTACTCCCTAATTGATTCTAATAAATGCAGTTGGTCATTTCCATGATCGTTTACTCAGACAATTGGTCAAATAGACTTTGCTTGTACTGCGCATTTCCAAGCGTACTGCGCATGCTCAGATGATTTTGCGTACATTTATGTGACCAAACGATTTAATCACTCAGAAAGCGATGAAAATAGATCCAGCTTGTCGTTACCATGACTATGAAACTGAAAAATTTGTCAAATGGACTGTGCAGACTCATGAAGTTTAAAGCCTAGTGCCAAACACTAATATATGGGGCCATCTGTGGTTTTATTATTTAACCGCATAACACTGTGATTTTCCCTGATTTATTAAATAACCAATTTCTTATTTTGGTTATTTAATAAATAACCACTTTATGAAAACATCGAAAATTGGTTATTTATTAAATAACCAGTTTCTACACACGCCGAAAATTGGTTATTTATTAAATAACCATTTTCTACACACGCCGAAAATTGGTTATTTATTAAATAACCAGTTTCTGCGCACGCGAAAAAATGGTTATTTATAAATAACCAAAATAATTTCGAGACACTTGGCGTGCCAAATGACGTCAGCAAGCAATAAAATAATTTTCTCAGTCCCCCCTGGATAAGCACTCATTTCCGCACTGTCGCGTTATTGAAATTAGATCGCTTGTCGCGAAAAATTTCATTTTGTCTGTAAGTTTCCCGCTCGGCGTGTTTTCTATTTGTCTTTTTTGTCAAATAAATATGTCTCAAATGCACAATCTCCAAAGAGCAATTACCGAGGCCGTAGGAAGAGCAGTACACGAGGCACTGCGAGATCAACATGAAGAGGTAAGATACAAAGCAAAATATTCTCCTTTCATACTTGTAAATATTCAATGTGTGATATGCGTCGAATCACGAGGTCGTCGATTTTACGTGACAAAATTCTTACAATTTTAGTCCTCTGATGCAGCTACTGCCCACGAAAATAATAATGAACCACAGGTAACATTCTAGTGTATATGGGTGCACGTTTCTTGTAAAATATGTGCCGTTGAAAACGTTTAAATTATTATCTAACATTAAAGTTTTTTCCAAAATCCAACCGTAGCCCCAGCGACAGCCACAGCGTCAGACAACGCTCACACAGTTGTCACAAAGTAGAACAAGTAGCTCTAGCGCTGTAAGTTGGCCAATGTTTGTCTGATTATTATCATGCATGACTGCACTATCAAAATTTTTTTAACACCTTGTTTTGTCTGCTTAAAAAAATTGCTATAAATGCACCTCATTGTTATATAACTATGATTCAATGTGGCTTTTCAATGGCAATTTACTACAGGCAATCAATCAAATGAATTATGTCTTACAGACCAGACCTCTTCCATCGATTTTTGAAAGCAGTTGTATTCAATATTCAAATGTTGGTGGTAGAAACGGAAAAGGTCATCAACATCCCAATCAAAGTCTGCAAAGCTTTACACAAAGATGTTGTTTGCCTTTTACCATCAGAAAATGGCAAAGATATTCCAATTCCTCGTGGAAATAGCCGAGGTTGCTTAGCTAATATGGGTTTAATTGGAAAAATCTCATTAAACTCGCATGGGTAGCAAAGGATGTTACCCGTGAAATAACAAGCATATTTGCCTCAGTTTTGACTTGCTACCTGGTGAACTGCTGCCATTTGACTACTTAGGGCAAGTATTTTATGTTTTACTACACTTATATTGAATTCTGTCACCAATATCAATATGCACAAAATTTGTGATTGAGTCATTGCTAGACATTATTGACGATACTTTTGATGATATGATGTAATGATGATATTTTTTTATTTCCCGCCCATGATATTTATTGAAGAAGAAAGTGTCCAATTATAAAGTAGCTAATTTGTTTTATCTTTATAGAATAACCAAAGGTACAAAAAAGCTTTCTATTTCTAAGACATCAACTTCCTTCCAATGGAATGCTCCAGAGGTCATATCACTGTGTTCTCAAGGATGTTTATACATCATTTCCAAATGGGAAAAATGAGGATGTTGATGGAGCTTTAATTGTTGAAGTGAGTCATAGAGGGTGATACTTTCGCTATGTCTGTTGTAGCAGTAATTGTTCTTCATCGTAGTGTTGGTTTCTTTTCTATTTCAATGTATATTGCCATTGCCTTGAATGAAAATTTCAGGATGACTCCGAACAGGATGATTTTGATAACGAACTTTTAAATATATCAATGTCTACGCCTCGGGCTGCGCAAAGTGTGTCAGGGGGATCAATGACTATACCTGGCGCTGCACAAAGTCATTCAGAGGGATCGATGACTATACTAGGTGCTGCACAAAGTTTTTCAGAGGGATCAACTAGCCATCATATAACTTCCACCATTGAGAGCAATCACTATAGGTCAGTATGTATTGCTGTCAGATACCATTTTACACTAGTAGGTTGGGATACACACTATGTTACTGATTTTTGTTTTAAAAATTATTGTGCAACGTCTGGATTTACTGTTTCTGTTTGTGATTGTTGGTTTATATATTCACCAGCTATTTTGGAATGACAAATTTATTGCTATGACTTTAAAACAATATTGGATGATAACGTACGAACGACTATGTTATTTCCAGTTTATTAATATGCATGATAATTACAATGACATAGTAGAATAAAAAACGAGTAATTATATACAGCTTATCTTTAGCAATGTATATGCTGTTATGAAAGAGTGTCCTGTAACAAATTTCTTCTGTGTTAAATTCTTTTAGGTCATTCTTAGGATTGCTTGATCCAGACCCCATTGAAATTAGCGATGATGACAACGATGAGGTGCAGACAGCTATTCAAAATAGCATGGGCTTAGCAAAGTATGGTAATCAGCTAAAAAAAGCGTTAACGGAAGACAAGATGCCATGCTAATTTTTTTCACTTGGTTATTTGTCTTTAGCGATTCAAGCGCGCAACAAATGGTTAGTACTGTTTTGAATGACCACATAGATAAAGTGATGGTTGGAAAATCCTGTGACGTAGCCATATCTAAAAACATTATTAACGTTCGCCGCAAGCATGTATTTGAAGACGGTATTGCCAAGCTAGGAAGAAAAAATTGATCCTTCACGTCCGTTGTCTGTCATGTTTGCCGACGAAATCGGGTCTAGCGAGGGTGCTGTGGATCTAGGAGGGCCGACACGAGAATTTCTCCGCCTTGCAGTTTCAGGAGCCTTTTCTTCGAACGCGTTCCTGGGATTGCCCTCGAAAAAGGTGCTGGTTATGAACCAAGAAGGTAGTCGTGCGTTGATTGTCTTCATGATAAAACTGAATTACGTAGATATAAATTTTGTTAAATTTAGCCGAAGGGATTAATGTACGTTATCAATTTAGCTACATAGCTACAAAAGCACGTATCGAACAGCATAATTGTGTTTCCTTTACATCCAGCAAAGAGGAAAAACTTGTATTTTCAATGTGGAAAACTTCTTTCCGTTTCCTTGTGTAATGGTGGAACTGCAGGACATTGTCTATCCCCCTCTATGTATGACTTCATTGTATTTGGTGAAGAAAATTGCCACCCATGTATCGACGATGTACAAGATTGTGAAGTAAAAAGTATCATAGAACGGGTAAATATTTGCTTTTTTATCAATAGTGAAAAGTCTGACGTTGTATCTCGATATTGAGCTGGCATTTTCACAAATCATACTTCCGTCTGTAGATCAGTGCTACTACAGAAGAAACAACGTTTGCAACTATAGTAGGATCTGATGATGCCATTGATGTTTTGCACAAGCTGGCTTTCACGGCATTCCAAAGTTTGAAACAAGAAAACAGCTTGTGGAAGAGCTTTGTCAATTTTTTGTAATTGATAAAGCGAGAAGTGCAATTGAGCAGTTCAAGGACGGGTTAAAAACACTGGGTGTTCTTAGCTTATTAAAAGGAAATCCACTTCTCTTCCGCCCATACTTCTGCCATCGTAGCAAGCCGCTGACCGCGATAGAAGTTGACAGAATATTTACACCAGATTTTCAGAAGATGGTTGTCGAAGACGTGAAAGGAGGAGCTCGTTATAATGCATTGGCGTGACTATCTACAAGAGTGCGAAGGTACTTTAAAAGCTTTTCCATCACCTTAAAAGATCGAAGTGATAGAAATGAAATAAACGCCTCGTATCTATAACCTCTAGGGTCTATTTAATGCCCCAGGCATTAATTGCATAATAAACGTTATTCAATTGCTTGTTATCAAACGTGTTATCAAATAATTGCTTTTTGACGAACAATCCATTTCAAAAGTACAACTTTTATTTATTTTTCTCTAGCAAACTGCTTTGCCAATGTTTCAGAGCCTCTTGTATCTTTGCCGATGATTATGATTTTTGCAACTGGGTTGGAGGAAGAGCCTCCTTAGGATTTCATGACAAACCAACTATTTGTTTCTGGGAAGATGTTCGTCCCAAAGCAACACCTGCGCTCACATTTTGTATTTGCCACTTCATAATGATAAAGATGATCTTAGTTATGAAGAATTTCAAGAAATGATGAACGATGGGATTCTGAACTCACCTACATTTGGTGCTCCATAGACATGCATGTATAAGAAAGCTGCTGAAGTTAGAGTCTAAGCAATAGTTGTGTTGATTTAATTTACGATTTGGTAATGATGTAAAACAACGTATTTCTAACTGACGTATCTATATTCCTCCTAGCATGTCATTACTGTATAAAATAGTTAGTGAAGACTATATTTTTTTACTACTCATATATGACTTGTCTTGTTTACGTTTTGCTGGCTTGCAGATCAATCCCAAGAGAGGTTGACCATTGTTGCTAATGTTCTCCAAAAGCCCTAGACCAAATCTGCCTGCTAGCAAAAGTAAACAAGGCAAGTCATCTATTGTGCATGCAAATCTTCAGGGTTCTGCTCATCAAGCATTGACTGTCCCAAGAAACGAACAGCCTCAAGGTATGCTGCTTTTCCGCTCACTGCCGAAAGAGATTGAATGAATGTACTAAAATTTTGCAACTGTAAGTCACCTTGCAAAGGGCATGATATATCTGGTACATTGACGTGAGGTAAATCACTTGACGCTAGTTCTTCAATGTCAAGATTGCTTGTGTTTGGTAGCATATCATCTTCATGGTATGCATTTCTAATGTTAACCCAAAACAATTGTTCAGGTGTTTTGTTTCCTTCTGTAGATATTTTATGGCTGTTGTGAGCAGCAACAAACTCGTCAAGGATTTTGTTGATTCGTGGCAGATACACTGAATTGAGGCAAAATATATCAGTGTCATTATTGACATTCAATACACCTTCACTTTCAAGTGCATAAAATTCAGATCTAAAACTTGTTAGAACTTGTTCATTTAGTGCTCTGTTATGTCTTTCGATTCTCTGATTGTGCAATGAATTCCCTACAACAACCGGCTTAGTTTCATTGCCTCGTGTTAAAATCATGTTGCGCCAGATGTCAACATTTTCGCCACCAAGATCGGTACGAATTCTATAAGGACGCCCATACTTCGAGACAGCACATAAGAAGTGATATAGAACAGTAGTTGCTCGATTGTTTGAAGAACAATGTGCAAATACCACTAATCGACTAAAACCATCGATACCATGGTGTATGACAAGTCTCCATCTAACAAGTTTATGGTTCCCATCAATATGCCAAATATAGTTGGGAAAAGGATTAGTATAAATGCGACGCTTTATTGGTTTACTTTTTCTCTTCGACACCTAATGGATCAACCATATGAATGGCTTTTCTCACTTTTTGTCGCTGAATGTAAAGACCCCTAGATTCAAGGTACCCTTGAACCATGACCTCGCCAGCCTTAGGATGATTTTGTTTAATGGCGTCCACCTCTTTCTCTATTTCGTCTTGTGACAATTGTGAAAAGTTTTCTCGATACAACCCATACTCCGACATTGCTTTGTAGACCACTGACCTGTCGACTTTCAACTGTCTGGCAATTTCCACAATCGTAAGTCGTAACTGAAGCAAATTTTCCAATACATCCCTTGGAATTATTTTCTTTGGTCGACCAACTCTTCCTGAATTGTTACTGATTAAAATGAAATGAGTTCAATACAAATGTAGTACTATAGAAATACGACATAATATTTGCTAAGTGTTCTTACCCCTCATTTTCATCATTTGAGTTGGAATTCTGGCAAAGTTATAAATTTATCAAAATTTAACGATGTTTTTCACTTGGATGCACCCATATACACTAGAATGTTACCTGTGGTTCATTATTATTTTCGTGGGCAGTAGCTGCATCAGAGGACTAAAATTGTAAGAATTTTATCACGTAAAATCGACGACCTCGTGATTCGACGCATATCACACATTGAATATTTACAAGTATGAAAGGAGAATATTTGCTTTGTATCTTACCTCTTCATGTTGATCTCGCAGTGCCTCGTGTACTGCTCTTCCTACGGCCTCGGTAATTGCTCTTTGGAGATTGTGCGTTTGAGACATATTTATTTGACAAAAAAGACAAATAGAAAACACGCCGAGCGGGAAACTTACAGACAAAATGAAATTTTTCGCGACAAGCGATCTAATTTCAATAACGCGACAGTGCGGAAATGAGTGCTTATCCAGGGGGGGACTGAGAAAATTATTTTATTGCTTGCTGACGTCATTTGGCACGCCATTGTCTCGAAATTATTTTGGTTATTTATAAATAACCATTTTTTCGCGTGCGCAGAAACTGGTTATTTAATAAATAACAAATTTTCGGCGTGTAGAAAATGGTTATTTAATAAATAACCAATTTTCGGCGTGTAGAAACTGGTTATTTAATAAATAACCAATTTTCGATGTTTTCATAGTGGTTATTTATTAAATAACCAAAATAAGAAATTGGTTATTTAATAAATCAGGGAAAATCACAGTGTTATGCGGTTAAATAATAAAACCACAGATGGCGCCCCATATATTAGTGTTTGGCACTAGGCTTTAAACTTCATATGAGTCTGCACAGTCCATTTGACAAATTTTTCAATTTCATAGTCATGGTAACGACAAGCTGGATCTATTTTCATCGCTTTCTGAGTGATTAAATCGTTTGGTCACATAAATGTACGCAAAATCATCTGAGCATGCGCAGTACGCTTGGAAATGCGCAGTACAAGCAAAGTCTATTTGACCAATTGTCTGAGTAAACGATCATGGAAATGACCAACTGCATTTATTAGAATCAATTAGGAGTAGATAACTTGCTTACTAACAAATTATTAAAGATATCAACTGAGCATGCGCAGTTCACTTGACAGTTTTTGACTTCATAGTTATGGCAACGACCAGCTGCATCTACAAGCACCGAATTTGAAGTAAATAGCATGCTTAGTAACAATTAAATGGATAAATCATCTGCGCATGCGCAGCAGCATGCGCAGTACATTCGACCAATTGTTTATAGTCATGGCAACGACTAACTATATGTACTTGCACTATATTTGTGGCAATTAGCTCACTTAGTCGCAAATTATCAAAGAAATCATCTGGGCATGCGCAGTAGTGACTTTAATAATACCGCAACTTTCGTAAGCCTCTGAATTTTGTATATATATATAAAGCCAATATTAGGTATAGTAGATGTCAACTAGCAGTGGAAGCTGGGTGCGATATGTATGCAGTGGCTTAGGGTCCAGACGTTTCGGGTCGCGACCGCACTCTCCTGCGTACCCCGAGCAAAGCCTATCGCAGGTGATCTCGGGTCTGATGGGCGGAAGCTTGCTATTGCATCTCCCAAGTAGGATAGCGTGGAGGGGCCGAAATCTCCTACCGAAACGTTAACATGCGGCGTTCTAGTGCCTCGGCTTAAGCAGGTATCGGGAAGCATGGACCGAAAACGGGGTTTTTTGCTTTTGAATTTAATCTTTTTTTGTATAAAGAAACTAGAACATTCAAGGATATTGCAAAAGTTAAAAAATTCCGCCTTAATGACTTATAATTTAAACCAACTGTAAATATGTTTATACGCTTTTACATGTTAACTTTTACAAGGTAACTATCTCATAACTCTCGTGATGAACGAGAGCCTCCTATACAATATAACTCTCATATCATGAACAAAAGTATCCATGAGCTTCATGGAAAAATGGATTATCTAATTCTTATAATAGATTTTACAAAGTTAGCATTTAATAAGCCAAGCCATTTGTATCGTTTAAATTATACCCTTATGTCATAAATTCATTGTGAATAATAACTTTCTTTTACCTTATTTTCACGGTTCAATCTAGAAAGTAACTTTACATTTCGAGTGATTTTACGGTTAAACAGTTAACTTTTCGGATTCATATGACTTCTTTTGATCGCATAGAGACAGCCATCCAATTTATTACGTACATGCATGTGTACTTTGCACTTCATTGCAAGAAACCACCCTACCAACAAATATCCAAATCCGATTTTAGCAGCATCGTACCCGAGAAAAGCCTATCGCAGGGTCTGATGGGCAGAAGCTATTGACATCCCAAAGTAATAGGGATATTTGCCACCTTTCAATTAATAGGATATCGAAATGGACCGAAAACGGATTTTTGTTTTCAAAATTTTCTCTTAAAGAGTAAACAAAATTAAAATTCTCGCAAGCTTCCAACGGAAAAGACTCACAGCTTATAAGGCTTTGGGGCAATGCGTGGGCTACAACAGGAGAGGCATTCTTCATTAAAATTAAACTAAAATTGAGAAGAGGCTTACTCCCAAACAAATGCTAGCAACAAATCCACTTTACTGCTGAGGATATTTTGTTTCTTTTTCAATGTGCGCAGAAAAAAATCCAGTTAAGAGCAACTGTTGCATCAAATTTCTCGTTGTTAACCGCGAAAACGAAGAAGTCAGTACGTACGTAATGTAGCATAAAAACACCTACTGTAAAGTCGATACATGAACGTTCCAGCCCCATCCACGCATCTAGCATCAGGAATTGATTCCTCGACTTCGGGAAAGACGGCGAACTCGTTGTTAATCCGTCTTATCTAGGAAAAAAGAGTAGGTTTGGGTTAGTATTCACCATAGATTTGTAACTGTAGCCAACAAAATATAAAATTATTTAACATTGAATTGGAAAACCCTTTATATACGTTCTAGTAGATTAGTAATGCTTGCAACATCGATTAAATAACCAATTGTTTATTAATACACATGAATTTGCTACATCAAAAGCGAAATAAAGCCTCGTGCTCAAGAATCTGTTGTAAAATAAACAATAAATATCCATTGAAAAACTTGTATTTAGCAATATCGTAAAATGTCAATAATTTAGTCCAAATATCGATAAGAGGGCACCGAAGAAAAACATTTATTACTGGATAATAATTCTTTCGGAGAAAATCGCTTCACTTGCTCTAAATCATAACAAT